AGTCCTGCGACGCGAGGAAGAATATTCCTCTTTGGCTGGCCAGCGGGTGGATGTGAAGCAGGTGCCGGATAGGGCGCAGCCGCAGCAGATCTGGCTGCTGCCATGGTCGGAGCTGTCCCCAGTTGCGTGACTTCGTCCGAACGTGGATGGAAATTTTGTTGAAACAATTAGATACTTTTAGATACTTAAAATTTGTAAAACGATAGAAATTTTGTTTTACGCTAATACTAAAAATACAAAAATATAAAAACAAGCGTACAGCTCCAAAGTCAGTGCTAGAATGAAATATTGCCCAGCCTCAAATCAAACGATACGAACAGAAAAGTAAATGCTAACTAGATGAAATACTTTTCCAAGCAAGTAAAACACATGCGAACTCTATTGATTTTTGTCGGTTTATGTTTTGGTAGAATTTTTTGTATTTTCTTTCAAATTGAATGCAGCAGAACGCCACACTTCTGACTTCGAAGTCTCAGCAACTTCTAATAGATACGCCTGAAGGTAATCCATTCACTGTATTTCACGCATATGCCTCAGAAAGCAGCACAGAAAAGCTCTAAAACAGCTCATAGAGAGTGTACAATTATCTACCCCTATAATGCCTTTAATACATATATTCAGAACACTCCCCGCTCTGCTCTGCTCTGATCTGATGAGCGGGAGAAAACCTCTGAAAATTAAACTGCTTTTTGCTTGTTCCAGTGGAGGCTTTTATTTTATTTTTTTGGTTTATTGGATTGCATTTCATTTCTTGGCGACTTCTTGGCGGTCTTCTGGTATTTTCTTCTTGTGCTATTTTGCTTTTTTTATACCCGTACTTAAAAAAGAGTTAAGGGGTATATTAGATTCGTGGTAAAAGTGGATGTGTGTAACGCAGAGAAGGAAACGTTTCCGACCCCATAAAGTATATATATTCCTGATCAGCATCAATAGCCGAGTCGATAGAGCCATGTCTGTCTGTCCGTCTGTCTGTCTGTCTGTCCGTCTTGATGAGCGCCTAGATCTCAGAGACTACAAAAGCTAGGGCAACCAAATTTGGTAGTCTGGAAACTCTTGTGATATCACACTGCTACAAGTGTATTTCAAAATTTCGCCCCGCCCCCTTCCGCCCACACAAAGGACGAAAATCTGTGGCAGGCACAGTTTTAAAGATACAATAAAAACTAAAAACGCAGTATCGTAGAGAATGCCCATATCTACTAGATTGCCGAATCTGAATCAGATCGGATCATAATTATAGCCAGAATGAAGAAATTTTCAGTTGCTTCCCTCCCCCCTCCCGATCATGACAACACAACTCATTTTCCTTCTCGCTCGCACACTCTGCCGCGTTCAGTGCGCGAGCAACCCTTACGGAGGAGGATAGAATAGAATATAGAATATGAATGGAACATGTACAATCTACATGTTAGATGTAGAATATACATTGTATATGTAGATGTAGATATCATATGTAGCAAAAAAATGTAAAATGTAAAAATTTTTTTTTTTCTAAAATTCTAAAAAATCATAAGCTCAATAATGTATATACTGACTGAGTACGGGTATAAGTAGAGTCGCGTCCCCAGAAGCGACTCACACGTTCCTTCTCGTTTTATTTATATTTATTTGCACTTTTATCTCAATTGTTTTATTTACGTTTATTTATATTTACCTATATTTATATTCTTTTATTTTCAAATATGTAGTTGGGTATTATTAATGTTTTAGTTCGTAAATAAATTTTATAATTTTAATTTTATAATAGTAATTTGTATTTGACATCGGCTAATCCCATGCCGAAGAATTGCCCTAAGAAGGGGCCATTCGGATTGACACACCCCCATCCTTGAACAACTATATTGAGGAAAACGCTCATCGATCAAACACAGCTATTTTATAGCTAGTTCTGGCTAGTTTTAAAGTTCGACTTAAAGCTCCAATTTTAAAAGCTTTTTTTTTCATGTTGGACCACAGAACAACTTCCTTTCCTCTAAAAAGTTCACAGCACTGACTGCTGACCAAATGTACGCGGGAAGAAAGAAAAGCGAATGCTAGCATTGCGGATTTAAATCATTTAAAACTAGAATAATGTAGTTTGTAGTAAGTACATTCGCACTACTCCACACCACCATTACCCCCTTCTAGAGGGTATCAAGATGCAAATATTATGTGATAAGTGCAGAGCTAGAGAGCTACAAGTGCCAGGCCGAGGGCGTTTGTGGCACATAATTAATGAAGAGGCAGTGGCTCAACAGTTTACAAATGGCCAGTGTTGCCCCCGTGTGCTGCACCTTGGCAGTGATTGCAGGTGCAGCTGCCTTCTCAAGATCTATGGCTTTGTGCTGAGCCGAGAGCTTCAGATGCTTATGCTGAACCAGGTTCCGGGTGCAGCAGCTTGACTGGGTTGGATTTTGGGCCATAGTAAATGCTATATAAGCGCTGTTCTGGGCCGGAATAGAGCATCAGTTTCGGTGGAGTCAAGCTTCCAGCAGCAATCCGACACAGAGTTCCTTTTTATCAGTTCATCATGCGGTACGCCCTACTCGTTGTGTTCCTGTGCGGACTCCCCTTCGCCTTTGTCTCGGCCGGCGATTCCGGAGGCAGGGGTGTTAACCGGGGGTGTTCTTAACCGTTTCGTTGTTCGATGATTTGAGAGTACAATTCTAACTCTTGCTTTGGTTTTAAGCAATGCCACGCGGCATGCGCGCAAACGAGCCCACGCTGAACCGCTTACCACACGCTAAATGCTACCCGATACACAGCTTACCCGCATATACCCGCTATCCGCTATCCGTAGCTTACACAGCTTACCCGATACAAAAGTTGTGTTCTTCACACTACGAACGGGTAAAGGTAAATGGAGTCCTCTTAAATATTAAGCAAATGGTTATTCAAATAAAAAATAAACGGTTATGGTTTCGAACACACACACACACGTACATATTACATATGCTCATAGACACACGTGTACATAAATAAATGCTTGAATAAACTTAATACATACAAATATATAATATTACAATTTATATAGATATATTTTGTGTCGGCCATCACCGCCGATTCAATACACTGTAACGGACACGGGAAGTGTCGTCTCGTCAGCACTCTCTGTCTACTAAAGGTTGGCCGGCTAGGCTCAGGGAAAATGGGGTGGGTGTTGTGCTGCGAAAACGAACTCCGTCACCTAACAAAATCGTAGACAGATTTACGGGAACTGGGATCGGAATTACAAACCCGGACGGAACTTAAGGTCCACTACCTACTGTGAAGAGCAAGGTGGTTGTGCTCTTCCCTCTTGACCCACCCTCCATGTAGAATAACATAAGAATATGCCATTATGGTTCTACCCAAAACCTTCTGCTGCTGCGCTATGTGCCTTAGGAACCCCTCCCAAAAATCAGATTAGAAATTCATGTTAATCGTTATAATTTTACTTTGACTTGTATGACTTCATGTTGTTTGTAACCCCCATTATTTCTACCCTAACCCTTAAAACTATTTTTACTGCATGGGTATATATATGTGGGACTAATTTAAGACATAGGAATTCAAGAGAATGATCAAATATGAATAAAAATAATATAATCAAAATATAAAGTAAGAATGAATTAATTAAAGGAATTAAATGGCATAATTGTAGTGATTGTAGTTAATAATAATTCATTTTATATATGGTTAAGCATGCATGTCTCACTGTGTAGACGCTATTCTCCTGACCCGGAGTGTATGTGTATATATGTGTGTCTACTTACAGACTTTTAAACAGCTGCTGGTGTCGTTGGGCCCAATTTCACGTTTGCAATAAAAACTGTTAAAGAAATGTAGGAATATGCAAAATAACAAGAAGCGTTATGAAGAGGTATTTTACCAATACCCTTCCATGGACACAATGAGACCGATGATGCACCTTTTAAAATCTATTCCTAACTAGGCATAAATTTCATTTTTTTTTCTTCTATTTCTAAGTTAACGTCTAGGAATATCTAATATTATTAAACAATTTTCTTTTCTATTTTTTTCTTCGATCCATAACTTTTCATTAAATTTTCTTTTCTAGATTTTGTGATTTATTTTTCTTCCCTTAAGTGGCTTTTAGAATGTCGGCATCGAACAATTTTAATAACCTGAGAGAAGGAGAATAGGTGACATACGGTCAGGTGGGTCTAGTTAAATGCGCATAGGTGTATGGTCAGCCGCAAGGGCAATGACCGCTGAGCTAATTTTTCCACACCCCTACATGTGCAAGCACCAACATTTTCTTTACACAAGGCGCGGTGATATAATATTTTAGATGGTTTTATATTGTCGTTGTTGTTGAGCGGCTTAATTGCGCGTGAGTATAAACGGCTCGGTTCCGATCGCCAAGTCCATCCGTTTCTATGCCTGCAGGCAAGGTCCGGTGGCACCAAGAAGAAGGACTGATGATCGTCATGAAGCGGACCCCCCCCTTGAGGGGTGGTCAGGCCAGGTCAGCAATTTTCTGCCACACGTGGATCATAACCTATGTACAGTACATACGTGAAATTATGTAATAAGGTCACTTTTTCATTTTCTTTGCGTACCTTATCCAGGGTTTGGTTTGTAGTTTTTGTTCTTTGCAGCCACAACACTTTTCAAATGGTTTTTATTGGGTTTATGTTCCCTTTTATGGTTTTGCAGAATTTTCACCACGTTTTTCTTTTTATATGTTCTGTACGCACATTAATTAAGTCTTCCAACTTTGAATGCACTTTTGTTCTGTGCAGCATGCACTTAGCCTAACTATTTTACCCCTCCAAAAGCTGGGTATGAGAGAGCTAAGAAGGTTCTCGAAGGGCTAGCCGTAAGCTATGCTTGCGGAGAGAAAAGCTCACATGTGAACGGCGCTCGCACGTGCAATTTCGAAAGAGAGAGCTTTTCAAGATAAAAGCTTCTGATCTTGCATTTGGGCTCTCTATGGAATGCATGTACAGTGGGGAAGGTTCAATATTTTTGCGATAAAATAAGAAGACTGTTCCCAAAAAAAATTCTTAATACAATTTTTGTCCAGACATTCTAAATTTTGTATTTTTGGTCTGCAACCTTCACAACACATAAAATTTATAGATCTTGGCCACGTAACGAGGGGCAATCCGCATCCGGAATGCACAGGGCAATGCTCATCCCGACGAACAGGAATACCTGCACTGTTGCCACCAGGATTTTCTTGAGCATGCCCGACTCTGATTCGTCCACTCGCGGTGCCGCTCTGACCTTCGGTGGCGTTTCCTCTTCCTGGGTGCCGCATGGCACCTGTGGGGGAATGGGCAGCGAGGATATGGCTGCCAACAGTAGCTTTTCCACCATCGGCGTCCATTCATTCAGTGCCGCTCTGACCTTTCTGGAAGACTTTGCCCGTCCCCCGGCCAAACGTGTCGTCCACTTCTTGGCCTTGAACCGACGCCCACGGGCACTTGTCGATGGCGGTTCCTCTGTCTGCGTGCCGCATGACACCTGTGGGGGAATGGGCAGCGAGGATATGGCTGCAACCATCGGCGAAGTCCATCCATTGTCGGGAATTCCGTTTTCGGGCATTTTCGTTTCTGTTGGGTGGCCATCGGAGGTCAGGCATGTCACCATCGAGTGCGTCGACTGGGCCGAGAGGCTAGGGGGACTCAGGCAGGACTTCATCGACGGCGTTGCGGTGCGATTGAGGCTCAAGCAGGACCCCATCGACGGCGTTGCGGTAGCATCGGAGCTCAAGCAGGACAACATCGTTGACAGCTCGTTGGCGTTCGAGTAGCGGCCGATAGAGGGCTGCATAGAGGTACTGCTCCAGCTGCAGCTGCTCCAGTTATCGCTGTAGGGCTGCATAGAGGTGAAGCTATCGCATGAAGTCGTCCAGCTGCTCCAGTTATCGCTGGAGTCCACCATCATTTCATCATCACCATCATGTCCATCAGTGTAGTCCGCCGGATTCGGCGTCTGGTGGGCGCGCCCCCTCTCGCTCGTATCGCTGGGCCCCACTCATCATCACCATCATGTCCATCAGTGTACCGATTCGGCGATTCCTAAGGATGAGGCGACGCCTTCTTGTTGGGTACTGGCCAAGCCAGTGGCGTCAATTTCTGCACTTTTTGAGGGGGGGCCTGACCACGGCTGAGTCCTGCGACGCGAGGAAGAATATTCCTCTTTGGCTGGCCAGCGGGTGGATGTGAAGCAGGTGCCGGATAGGGCGCAGCCGCAGCAGATCTGGCTGCTGCCATGGTCGGAGCTGTCCCCAGTTGCGTGACTTCGTCCGAACGTGGATGGAAATTTTGTTGAAACAATTAGATACTTTTAGATACTTAAAATTTGTAAAACGATAGAAATTTTGTTTTACGCTAATACTAAAAATACAAAAATATAAAAACAAGCGTACAGCTCCAAAGTCAGTGCTAGAATGAAATATTGCCCAGCCTCAAATCAAACGATACGAACAGAAAAGTAAATGCTAACTAGATGAAATACTTTTCCAAGCAAGTAAAACACATGCGAACTCTATTGATTTTTGTCGGTTTATGTTTTGGTAGAATTTTTTGTATTTTCTTTCAAATTGAATGCAGCAGAACGCCACACTTCTGACTTCGAAGTCTCAGCAACTTCTAATAGATACGCCTGAAGGTAATCCATTCACTGTATTTCACGCATATGCCTCAGAAAGCAGCACAGAAAAGCTCTAAAACAGCTCATAGAGAGTGTACAATTATCTACCTATAATACCTTTAATACATATATTCAGAACACTCCCCGCTCTGCTCTGCTCTGATCTGATGAGCGAGGAAAACCTCTGAAAATTAAACTGCTTTTTGCTTGTTCCAGTGGAGGCTTTTATTTTATTTTTTTGGTTTATTGGATTGCATTTCATTTCTTTGGCGACTTCTTGGCGGTCTTCTGGTATTTTCTTCTTGTGCTATTTTGCTTTTTTTATACCCGTACTTAAAAAAGAGTTAAGGGGTATATTAGATTCGTGGTAAAAGTGGATGTGTGTAACGCAGAGAAGGAAACGTTTCCGACCCCATAAAGTATATATATTCCTGATCAGCATCAATAGCCGAGTCGATAGAGCCATGTCTGTCTGTCCGTCTGTCTGTCTGTCTGTCCGTCTTGATGAGCGCCTGGATCTCAGAGACTATAAAAGCTAGGGCAACCAAATTTGGTAGTCTGGAAACTCTTGTGATATCACACTGCTACAAGTGTATTTCAAAATTTCGCCCCGCCCCCTTCCGCCCACACAAAGGACGAAAATCTGTGGCAGGCACAGTTTTAAAGATACGATAAAACTAAAAACGCAGTATCGTAGAGAATGCCCATATCTACTAGATTGCCGAATCTGAATCAGATCGGATCATAATTATAGCCAGAATGAAGAAATTTTCAGTTGCTTCCCCTCCCCCCTCCCGATCATGACAACACAACTCATTTTCCTTCTCGCTCGCACACTCTGCCGCGTTCAGTGCGCGAGCCGGAGGAGAATAGAATAGAATATAGAATATGAATGGAACATGTACAATCTACATGTTAGATGTAGAATATACATTGTATATGTAGATGTAGATATCATATGTAGCAAAAAAATGTAAAATGTAAAATTTTTTTTTTTTCTAAAATTCTTTAAAATCATAAGCTCAATAATGTATATACTGACTGAGTACGGGTATAAGTGAGTCGCGTCCCCAGAAGCGACTCACACGTTCCTTCTCGTTTTATTTATATTTATTTGCACTTTTATCTCAATTGTTTTATTTACGTTTATTTATATTTACCTATATTTATATTCTTTTATTTTCAAATATGTAGTTGGGTATTATTAATGTTTTAGTTCGTAAATAAATTTTATAATTTTAATTTTATAATAGTAATTTGTATTTGACATCGGCTAATCCCATGCCCTAGAAGAATTGCCCTAAGAAGGGGCCATTCGGATGTGGGCCAGGGGGCAGAATGGCCAACGGTAGGGTGGGCATGTTACGCCTCATCAACACCTGAGGTCGTAGTAGGAGAACCAGCAGGTGCAGCGGAATAGTTCCATTCCCTTTAGTATGTTTGTTGGTCGGAAGTAAGTGGGATTCTCTATTCCGGTTTTCGCTTGTTCCTAGCAGGCAACTTATTTAGAATATTATAGTGAAGAAAGGCCAATCATGGGAGTGGAGCAAGACCACCACCCTCCTAGCCGACGAGCCTGAGCCGGAATATACAGCGTTCTCCTCTCTCTCCCATGCCCAACACCGCGCCTGAGAATAATGAGTTGGAATGCATTTGTTACAGTAGGCAGAGGGTGTAGTCCATTTCCGATTCCCTAGCCCACTAATTTGCTTACAATGATGAGGCACGCACCATTGACGGCCTTGTCACCAAGCTGCCCATAAGCAGCCCTTCAAGCGAGCAGCCGCCTCGCGCCGTACAGGTCGAATATACTGATCTTCGCAGCAGCGTCGATGAGCCCCTCATCCCGGGCATGCCACTCCGCTCGGGAAAAAGCTAGGGACGGGAAAGGTGCGCACTCGTTCAGCCCCACGCACCATTGACGGACCAATTGAAGGAACCAGTAACGGACAAACTGGCGGAACCAGTAACGGACAAACTGAAGGACCCCTAATCGTGTAAGCCTCGCTCCCGAGGCTGAGCAGGAGAACTGCGATGGTGAAACCCAAACCGACACAGTCACCGGGGCTGACTTATCTCCAAATTTAATTTTGTGTTCATTAGTTATAATTTACAATCAATATAAATAAAATTTACAATGTAATCCATGTAGCACATGGAACACCATTAATTCCGTTAAAAAAACGAATCAACAAGAAGGAAGAGGGCCGTGTGAGAGCGAAACAATATTTTGAATATTAAATAATAAAGATATTGTGTTAAAAAATTGGGGTCAAAAATAAATAAAATGAATAATTTTGTGAAGAAAAAAATAATAAATATGTTGGGGGGGGATTTCAGGCTGAGGTGAGCATCAGCCTGTCAGGGGTCCTCTACAAGACAATTTGTAGATCGCAGGTGACTTTCAGGTTCGGACGGCCTTGTCTGACCGAAAGAGAGGTAGGACACAGGAGGAGCGTTTTGTTGCTGACAAAAATGCTTCAAGAAGATCGTGGTTTTTGGTTTTGCTGGTGTTTATTATTTTTATTACTTAATTCTTTGTGGGTTTGTGTACGATGGGATTACTTGCGGATCTTGTTACTTTGCCTTGGAGCCGTTGGACTGGGGGTGCAGTGTCTTGTGTTTTGGCTGAGGGACTGCCTAGTGCAGTGTCTTGGGTGTGTGACTGAGGGACTGCGTAGTACAGTGCCTTGGGTGTGTGACTGAGGGGACTGCCTTGTGCAGTGTCTTGTGTTTGGGCTGATGGACTGCGTAGTACAGTGTCTTGGGTGTGTGACTGAGGGACTGCGTAGCACAGTGTCTTGTATTCGGGCTGATGGACTGCCTACTCTTTCAGCCGATCTTGGCCCTTTTATGCAGCTGGCGATAGCACCTGAGACCCGGAAATAATTAATTCTTGCTGACTTAAGGTTATTGGATAACAATAATTGTGAAGCGCGGTAAGTGGGTCGAAGCTTTGTGCTTCTGAGATTGTTAGTGGGTCAGGGGTGGTTTTGCTGAGGCTGCATCCCGGAAGGTGCGGGCTGCAGTTGGGTAAGGTGATATCTGAATTTGGGTCGGTAGGTCGATAATTTTATGCTAGCTTGACCTATTGTGAAATAACGCCAGTGATATCTCTCATTGCGAAATTGTGTCGGCTTGGCTTATTGTAGGCTGCTGATTTCACAATTGTCTCAGAGGTGGGGTGTTGTTGATCGAGAGTTCTTAATTAATTGTGTGCTTAAGACCATTTTATTTCCGAGGTGCTGACACACCGCTATTTGTGGAGAACCGTGGCTAGAGCCATGGTTCGCTAGCTCGGTGTATATCAGTTTGGTTATTGTCTCCCGCCAGCGTGGATGCGCTGACCCTTCGCCGTTTGTGACGAGCCATGGCTAGAACCATGGTTCGTTACACCCTCCTTTCTGCCGGGTGGGTGATGGAGAGATTAGTGGCGTCGCTTGGCGGGTGCTGAGGATCGCCTTTTACCGGGTTATCCTGTCCTTGTGCTTTTGCCGAGTCTTTGGATTCGTCGGTGTTAATCTCGTCACTTTAGCGTGGCGTCGGTAACGTTATATTTTCTCTGCTGCTGTGATCATGGCCTTTCTGCTGTTCTGGGTGCTTTGTAGTTGGTGTCTGCTTGGTGGGTCGATTATCCCATATGACGATGGTTTTCTCGGCGGTTTTCTTCGGTAGTTCCTTGTCCAGGAACGTGAAATTATGTAATAAGGTCACTTTTTCATTTGCATACCTTTCCAGGGTTTGGTTTGTAGTTTTTGTTCTTTGCAGCCACAACACTTTTCAAATGGTTTTTATTGGGTTCTTGTTCCCTTTTATGGTTTTGCAGTTTTCCATGTACACTCTTTGTGACATTACTTTTGAATGCAGCTTTGTTCTGTGCATCTGCACTTAGCCTAACTATTTTACCCCTCCAAAAGCTGGGTATGAGAGAGCTAAGAAGGTTCTCGAAGGGCTAGCCGTAAGCTATGCTTACGGAGAGAAAAGCTCACATGTGAACGGTGCTCGCACGTGCAATTTCGAAAGAGAGAGTTTTCAAGATAAAAGCTTCTGATCTTGCATTCGGGCTCTTGTGGAATGCATGTACAGTGGGGAAGGTTCAATATTTTTGCGATAAAATAAGAAGACTGTTCCCAAAAAAAATTCTTAATACAATTTTTGTCCAGACATTCTAAATTTTGTATTTTTGGTCTGCAACCTTCACAACACATAAAATTTATAGATCTGGCCACGTAACGAGGGCAATCCCGCATCCCGGAATGCACAGGGCAATGCTCATGCCGACGAACAGGAATACCTGCACTGT